GAGGATTTTAGAAGAAAGAAAGAAGAGAGGAAGGAAGAAAAGAAAGAAGGGAGGGAAAGGGGGAAAAGGGGAAGGAGACGAAGAAAGGAAAGGGGGAAAAAGCAAAAAAAAGGAAAAGAAGAAAAAGAAAAAGGGAAAAGAAGGAAAGAAAAAGGAAAAAAAGGGGAGGGGGGGAAAAGGAAGAAAAGAAAAGGAGGAAGGAAAAAGGAAAAAAAAAGAAAAGAAGGGGAGGAAGAAACAGAAAAAGAGAAGAGAAGAAGAGGAAGGAGAGAAGGAGAAGAAGAAGAGAGAAGGAGAAGAGAAAGAGGAGAAGAGAGAGAGAGAAAAAAGAGAGAGAGGGAGGTGAGAAGTGAAGTTGAGAAGAGAGAGAGGAGGAGAGTGAGTGAGAGAGAAAGAAGAGAGAGGAGAGAGAGAAGAGAGAGAGCAAGAAGAGGAGAAAGAGAGAGAGAGAGAGAGAGAGAAGAGAGAGAGAGAGAGAGAGAGGAGATGTAAAGAGAGAGAGAAAGAAGAGAGAGAGAAGAGAGAGAGAGAGGAGAGAGAAAAGGTGGAAGAAAGTGTTGAGAAGAGAGAGAGAGAGAGAGAGAGAGAAAAGAAAAGGAGAGAGAGAGAGAGAGAGAGAGAGAGAGGAGAGAGAGAGAGGAGAGAGAGAGAGAGAGGAGAAAAGAAAGAAAGAGAAGAAAGAGAGAGAGAGAAAAGAGAGAGAGAAGAAGAAGAGAGAGAGAGAAGAGAGAGAGAGAGGAGAGAGAGAGAGAAGAGAGAGAGAGAGAGAGAGAGGAAGAGAGAGAGAGAGCAGAGAGAGAAAGAGAGAGAGAGAGAAAGAAGAGAGTAGGAGAGAGAGAGTGAAGAGAGAGAGAAAGAGAGAGAAAGAGAGAGAGAGAGAGAGAGAGACGAAGAAAGAGAGAGATAAGAGAGAAGGGAGAGAGAGAGAGAAGAGAGAGAGAGAGAGAGAGAGAGAGAGAGAGAACGAGAGAGAATAGGAGAAGAGGAGAGAGTGAGTGAAGAGAGAAGAAAGAGAGAGAGAGAGAGAGAAGAGAGAGAGAAGGAGAGAGAGAGAGAGAGAGAGAGAGAGAGAGAGAGAGAGAGAGAGAGAGAAGAGAGAGAGAAACGTGGGAGAGAAGGTGAGAGAAGAGAAGAGAGAGTAGAGGAGGAGAGAGAGATGAGAGAGAGAGGAGAGAGAGAGAGAGAGAGAGAGAGAGAGAGAGAGAGAGAGAGAGAGAGAGAGAGAAGAGCGAGAGAGATAGAGAGGAGAGAGGAGAGGAGAAAGAGAGAGAGAGAGAGAGCGAGAGAAGAGAGAGAGAGAGAGGAGAGGAGAGAGAGAGAGAGAGAGAGAGAGAGAAAGAGAAAGGAGAGAAAGAGAGGAAAGAGTGAGAGAGAGAGAGAGAGAGAGAGGAAGAGAAGAGAAGAAAGAGAGTGGAGTGTAGAGAGAGAGAAGAGAGAAGGAGAGAGAGAGAGAGAGAGAGAGAGAAGAGAGAGAGAGAAGAGAGAGGAGAGTGAGAGAGAGAAGGTGTGTAATGGAGTAGAGGGTGAGGGATGGACAGCGGAGGTGTTGATGAAGAGGGTGAGTTTGTGGTGGGAGAGAGAGAGAGCGAGAGGAGAGAGGTAGATGGACACCCGTTGAGCGTGTAGGGTTTATGGAGTGCTTGATGACACGCAATGAACGTTACGGGGTGTGGAGGAGATGCATTGAGTAGGGATGGAGAGGAGAGGGTGGGAGTGGGGAGTTAGGTAGAGAGGAAGATGAGATGAGGTAGAGAGACGGAGATGTATAAGTAGAGGAGGGTTGGGTAGTAGGGGAGCTGAGTAGCGGGAGGTGGGAGAGAGCGAGAGTAGGAGAGAGATTTGATCGCAGATGGTAGTATTAGAGAGGTGTGAGACACAGAAGAGTGCGTGAGGAGAGAGACCGTTGGTTGAGAGTAGATGATCTAGTCTGGTCAGGTCGGCGTAGGCACACACACGTTTCTAGATGCGTGGTTTGGCAGTGCATGATGAGAAAGTGGGTTGAGCGAGGTGGTGGTGTGTGGTGTTGTGGTTTGGTGGGGCCTGGGCGAGCGGAGAGAGAGAGAGAGAGAGAGAGAGAGAGAGAGAGAGAGAGAGAGAAAGAGAAGAAGAGAATAGAGAGTGAGAGTGAGTTATATGAGAGAGAGAGGAGAGAGAGAGAGAAGAGAGAGGAGAGAGAGAGAGAGTGAGTGAAGAGAGAGAGAAGAGAGAGAGAGAGGAGAGGAGAGAGAGAGAGAGGAGAGAGAGAGGAGGAGAGAAAGAAAGAGAGAGAGAAAGAAAGAAAAGAGAGAGAGGAGGAGAGAGAAGGAGAGCAGAGAGAGAGAGAGGGCCAGAGAGAGCGAGAGAGAGTAGAGAGAGAGAGAGAGAGAGAGAGAGAGAGAGAAAGAGAGAGAGAGAGAGAGAGAGAGAGAAAGAAAGAAAGAGAGGAGAGAGAGAGAGAGAGAGAGAGAGAGAGAGGAGAGAGAGAGGAGAGAAGAGAGAGAGAGAGAGAGAGAGAGAGAGGAGAAGAGAGAGAGAGAACGAGAGAGAGAGAGTGAGAGAGAGAGAGAGAGAGAGAGAGAGAGAAGAGAGAGAGAGAAGAGAGAGAGAGAAGAAGAGAAGAGAGGAGAGAGAGAGAGAGAGAGAAGGAGTGAGAGAGAGAGAGAGAGAGAGAGAAGAGAGAGAGAGAGAGAGAGAGAGAGAGGAGAGAGAGAGAGAGAGAGAGAGAGAGAGAGAGAGAGAGAGAGAGAGAGAGATAGAGAGAGATGAAAGAGAGAGAGAGAAGAAGAGTGAGTGAGAGGAGAGAGAGAGAGAAAGAGAGTGAGTGAGAGAGAGAGAGAGAGAAGAAAGAGAGAGAGAGAAAGAAAAGAGAGAGAGAGAGTGAGAGAGAGAGAAAGAGAGTGAGAGAGAGAGAGAGAGAGAGAGCGAGAGAGAGAGAGAGAGAGAGAGAGAGAGAGGAGAGAGAGAGAGAGAGAGAGAGAGAGAAGAGATAACATAAGAGATGAACAGGAAGACCCAAGACCGGGACCGACGGGGCCAGGGCAGGGCTCCTCGGGCAGCCATCGCTCCCCACCTCCGGAAAGTCTAACAGGGCGGCCCGTGTTTCTTTCCCGCAGGACTCCCCAAGCCCCCCCACCTGACCAGCAGCCCCAACGGCGCGCGAGCGACACCTACACCCTCACGTGGGATACGGAGAGCTACTACCCCATCACCGAGTTCCTCGTCAAGTACCGCAAGACACAGCTGGGCGCGCTGGCAGGTGAGGCGTGGGGTCCGCCTGCCTGCTTTCTGGCTGGCTTTGGACGCATCCTCAGCTGCGTCGTCTTTTTGCTCTCCATTATTGCTCTCTCTCTCTCTCTCTCTTCTCTCTCTCTTTCTCTCTCTCTCTCTCTCTCTCTCTCTCTTCTCTCTCTCTCTCTCTATCCTCTTTCTCTCATACACATATATACATATATATACTGTGCATATATATCATCATGATAATTCTTTAAGCTACGCGAATGCACCCGAGATAAACCCCCCCCCCTCCTGGCCGCTCAAGACCAACCACACGATGGTGATGGCGGGGTCGTGGCAGAGCATCTCGGAGGCGGTCGACCCGGAAGCCGAGTTGAAGGAGGACTCGCGGCACTCGATGGCCTACACACTCAAGGACCTGGAGGTGGCCACCGACTACGCCGCGCAGGTCCGCGTCAGAAACAAGTACGGCTGGTCGTCCGAGAGCGAGACCTTCACCTTCTCCACCAAAAAGGGTCAGTGTCCATCTGCCTGTTGTTGTTGTAGTTTTTTTGTTGTTGTTGCTGTTGCCTAATCAAGGGCTGAAGCTACTTGTTATTTTTGTCTGAGTGACTATTTTCACTCCCGCAAAAAGTAATATAGTAATCTGTCTCAATCTCAGTGGTTCCAAGCGCAGGGCGCTGAAGGTTAGGGCTTATCACGCTTAAGGGATAGTAGGATGTTGGGGGTGGAAAAGGGGGGAAGGAAGCTGTCTTGCTGTTTTGTGTGTGGGTCTTGAGATGCGTTGGTGTAATTTTGTGGAAGGAATGTGTTGTGGGAGTTTGTTCCAGTCACGAGTAGTGCGTGGGAAGTATGAGAGGTTGAAGGAGTCTGTACGGATGTGGTACGTGTTAGGTATACTTCAGTTATGTCGATTTGGTTGTATGTGATTTTGTACATAATTGTTAGTCTGTGTGTATGTCTGCATATTGAGAGAGCGTACTAGATGTAATTGTTGTTTTATTCGTATTGTGATGCCAGTTTTAGTTTTGTAAAGAACCTAGGTCCGTGTCCACGAAAGTTCTCAGGCAATTCTGAGATTAAATTTGAGACAATTTCAGAAGTGTCTGAGGAAAAAAATAGGTCCGTCGTTTGTTGACCCACGCTTATTTAGTAATTGCATATTAATTAATACATAAAATGTTTGCAAACATGTGTTTTCTTTGGCGAAATACTCTATTGTGCTGGCACAACCCATGCAAATCAATCATTACACAAGAAAAAGAAAATCAAAAACAAATATCGATAAATATGTGAAGCTGGGCTTATAGGTTTATGTATGGATATGCGCATATGTGTATGAATATCTAGATTTATGTGTGTATATAGATATGTATATCAGTGTATATGCTTATGTGTATATATGTATGTTTTTGTTTGTTGTAATAGTAATATATATATATTCAGATATATATATATATTATATAATATATATAATATGATGTTGATTTATATATCTATGTAACTTCTACAGGGTTATTACTGGTTCTAAGCATATATTAGTGTTATAAATTAACTATTGAGGTTTTTATATAAATATATAGTATATATAATATATTATTAACATATATATATATTATATTTGGTGTGGGTGCTTAGTTATATAGATATAATATAGGTGCTGGTTTTAGGTGATGCTATATATTGGGGTTGACTAGGTTGATATGCTATATAATATATATTTAATATACGTTAACATTATTTTATATAATATATATATAATTTAGTGTTCTGAGCTCACGCTCTAC